CTGTAGAGAAAGAAACTAGGATCATAAACCTTTTTTATACAGAACAGAGAAAATACAATTGCATAATTTACTCAGATTGAGGAGCGGTTTGCACATATAATTTCTGTTTCTTCCCAAACACACAGAGAAGAGGGAACTTACAAGCTTAATAATAGTTTAAGTACATACAATTATATCCCATTGGTCTCTTTAAAGTAACAGGGCAATCTATCATTTTAAAGGACAAATATTATTTAAATGTTCATGCACTACAAAATATAAACATTGTGATTTTTAGAGAGACACTATTGTGCCTAACAGCTATAGATTTCAGAAAGATCTGAACACATAATTTTCAAATGTGCCAAACAGAGAATTGCAATCTGTATGGAATTCCCGAGGGATGTCTCAGATAGACATAATTTCTGAAAATGAACACACCCTTCAGTCAAGTTGATCAATATGTTTTCTTCACCGAAGTAACAGCCTTTTTCAGGCTGTTTGTAAGGATTTCCTGATAATAGTCCCATCTAAGTATTAAGCAGGAGTAACCCTCCTTAATTTCCAGTTAAATTTCCAACTAAAACTAGTTGGCTAGGCCTACCTACTGAATTTCTGAACCCATATTAACTCCCAGCCCTAAGTAACCTCTCTTCAAAATGTGTCATCCCTTGACATCAAGACTTTAAAGGCCTTGATGTATTTTAGAGCAGGGGTCCCCAACCCCAGTCTGTGGACTGGTACCGGGCCACGGCATGCCAGCAACCGGTCCGCACCAACAAGCAAAGCCCCATCTGTGGGATGCAGGCAGCACACAAAACCATGCACCCTACAGTCCATGGAAAAACTTTTCTCCACAGAACCGGTCCCTAATGCCCAAAAGGTTGGGGACCTCTGTTTTAGAGGAAAAGAGATTTGTTTATATTAAAAAAAGAATAAAAATGAGTTTAGTTTGTGATAAGTATATTTTAATTACATAATAAAGTATTATACATGCTTGATCAGAAAATATATAAATGAAAGTATTTAGCTTGGTAGTTTAAACAAACAAGGACAAGAATTTAAAAAGCACACATTTCTAATTGCTGTAATTGCTTTTGGTTATCCATTCACTACTAATACAATCTGGTCAAATGTCATGCTATTCTTTTATAGAATGGGAATTAAAATTATGACAATTAGCCATATTCAATTTCTAACCATGTTGAGTGATGAATGTAAATATGGATTTGATGCATATTAATGTATACAGGTTATGTTCTAATGATAATTCTTGTGTAAGCAATAAGTATTGCAGCATTTCTGAAAACTTTACAGCACTAAAAAGGACCAAAACTTATGAACATATTTGAAAACATTCTAATATGTGATAGAATAAAAGACTGCATAAATATATTAAATTTTACATTGTTTTCTTTCGTGAAATATGGTTCATAAAATATGTATTGATCTTTTTCTCAAACTGGCAAACTATCATCTTTCAAAACCTTTTTTATGCGCCATCATGTGGTTGCTAAAAGGAAAGCAAGTGCACACTTAATACTTCACTGTTAACTCTGTTAGATCGCGCAGGCAGTAAGACACGAGTCGAGTGACAGTCAGCTCTCGGTTTATTGGCAAGGCATAAAGTAAATCC